ACTCATTTCTGAAAAACACATTTTTCTTAAAAAACTTATTTTTAGGGGCTCCTGGGTGGCTCAGTTGGTTAAGCATCTGCCTTTGGCTCAGGTCATGATCTCAGGGTCCTGGGATGGAGCCCCTGTTGGGCTCCCTTTCCCTCGCACCGCTTGTGTGTGCATGCGCTCTCTCTCTCTCAAATAAATAAAAAAATTTTTAAAAAACCTCCTTTTTAAAATATTTGTTTGATCAGCATAGTCATGATCTGCTTTAATAATTCTTCACCAAATACTTTATCCAATATTTATTCAACATATATTTTATGAGCAGATACTGTGTGCCGACACTATTCTGAGGATATAGTAGTGAATCATATAGACAAAGTTCCACTCCTCTTGGTAGACTGGGTGGACACAATAAACAAACATTTAAACATATAATATCTGCAGAGATAACTGATTTGGAGAGAAAAAAAGAAGCATGAGCAAAATATGGAATGACAGAGATTAAGTTACTATTTTAGATAAAGTCAGGGAGGGCTTTCTGAGAAAATGGCATTTGAGCAGATACCTGAATAAAAATGGAGAAGCACATCCTGTAGTTATTTGGCAAGGGGTGGGGCAAGGGTAGGGGGCTTTCCAGGAAGAGGGACTAGTTAAGTGAAAAGGCCCTTGGGAGAAAATGAAATAAGAAAAAAAAACCAAAGACAAAACAACAAAAACTTTTCAAGAAAGAAGGTAGGATCATATCTCTTAAATAGTAACAATAAGTTAATTAGAGAAGGGCTGAAAACTGAGCTTGGGATTTGACATCATGAAGGTCATTTTTTATGTAATAAAAAATTTTTTTTTGGAGTGGTGGGCCTAAAAAGTATGACTGGAATGGGTTCAAGAAAGGATGGGGAAGTAGAAGAGGAGATCAGTGGAACAGATGAGTGTTTCAAAGAGGCTCGCTATAAACAGGTGCAGAAAAACGTAGTAATAGATGAAGGGGAATTTTAGATCAAAGGAAGTTTTTGTTAAGGTGCAGGAATAATAGTACACTTGAATGTTGTTGTAAAGTATTTACCAGAGAGGAAAAATGATTACTGTTGGAGAGTAATATCCTTGAAAAAGTGAGAGGATGGGATGTAATCGAGACTGATATTCAGCAGATGTGAATAATTACAGACATAATGATTGCCAAAATACTAACGCTTTCAGCCTGGTTTATAATTTAATGCTGTCTTGAGCCTCCTGATTGCCCCCACCCCCACCTGGACCACATCTCCTTTTCCTTGGGACTCCCTAGGTCTTCTCATCATCCAGAAACCAAAGGGTAACAGCTGGAACAGGGGGAGGATCCAAAACCAGCTCTGTTGCCATGTTTGTACTTCTGCCATTCTGGTTACTAAGTGTTTTGAATATCACCCAAGGATCCAGTGCACAGTGGAAGTGTTAGTCTTATAGAGGAGAAATAGACAGATGGATTGATAGATTTGGAAAGGGTGAGGTTGAAAGTCCTCTTTTCAATGCTTTTATTTTCTTAGTAGTCTAAGAAACTAAGAGTAAAGAGGTGCAAGGGACCATATAGGTAGGAGAGAAGAAGATGTGCAATTAATGTCTAATGGCATAAGAAATAAATTGGTCTGGGCAATACGCAGAATTTATAGTCAATTAGCCATGGTTGGGATATTGCCATGCAAGTAGGAAAGAGGAAGACAGAGGTAAGGGAAGTGAGAGTATCTTGTAGGGCGTGATTATAAAAATAGGTCATAGACTAGTTAAAACAGAAGTAGGAGTATAGGGGCAAGTGAGAATCAGTACCAAGGTGGTAGGGCAAAGAGATGATAGGTTCTGCTGCTGTTGAAGAATTGTTGGAGTTGGGGTATTAGTAGGAGTGAGTTGGGGAGATAGAAATGGTAAGTGGAGAATGGCTGTTCAAGATTGTTGAAGGAGCACAGTTTTCAGTAACGCCAAATTCTAGTGAATTACCCTGGGAGTTTTGGGCTGAGAAAACTCAGGGGTTTTCTCAGGGTGGGGGTGGGGTAGAAAAATCACTGGGCATAAGGAGGTTAAGAAAAGAGAGATCAGGTTGGGAGAAGGACTGTCTATGTAGACATTGAAATCACCAAGTTACATGATGATGGACACAATGAGAAAGAAGCTATCATCTTGAAGGAACAAGAAGTTACCCAAGGGTATGTAAATAACTACCATAGGAGATGTAGGGAGTCTGAGGGTATGAACTTCAAAGACGCTAGACATATTTAAGAATAGGGGTGCCAGGCACTGTTCTAGGTATTAGGGATCGTAGTGAATAAAACAGATGAAAAATCCCTGCCCTCATGGAGTTCACCATCTTGTACCACTTGGCTGCCTCTTGAATGTTCTGGTTTTCCGACTCGACTTCTTATGGCCAAACTCTCCCCATTCCAATCCATGTGTTTTGTTATTCCCAAATTTCCCCTCTTCACGTAGAAAATGTATCGTATAACTCTCCTTTACAATAATCTACTCAATTAGTGGTTTGATATTATCTTATAAATAAATCCTTATTTCTCCCTGTGGCATTTGAGTTGCAATTTAGCTCTGAATTGCTTGTTTGAGATCTGCTTAAAATTAGGGATTGGTACCTCCTCTGGGAAGCCTATCTTTTGATTCTTTTTACTGCAAAATTGACATTTCAGGACATTAAAATATATAAACTAGTTATAGGAATTCACTATACATTCATTTCCTTTTAAGTCATCAAAAGATATTTAGTCATTTCAGTCCTATGCTGGAAAGTGCTGATCCTGTAACCCCGAGCTCTAATTGCTCAGGTCAGGGGTAGATACAGAGTAAGGGTGGAGGTGGGGAAGGATAGCCTGACTTTTTGGGGGATTTCCAGGTCATCTGGTCCAGCAACAGAAAGGGGCTTCTGGTCACTTTTCATTACTTTTTCTGTTGAAGGTGTCTGATTCCCTAAATAATAGACATGACTTTGTATATATTTATTTGTTTTTTCTCTAGGGCAGAAATATTGATGTTTTTAAGGAAAACAAAGCAGTGACCCTTTGGCATATCTTATTTACCATATCAGTCAGCGTCTAGGCAGAAAACAAAATCCACACTCAAAATGGTTTAATTGGAAAGAATATAATGAAGGACTATTACAGAGGTGTGGGTGTGGTTCAAGGAACTAGCAATGGTGGTAAGCCTTTACAACCCTAGGCCTGAAGGGGCACTGGAAGAAAATGGTATTATTAGAGACCCATGAGAGCTGTAGCCATGGAAAAGAAGCTTCAGGCAGGCATTATAATCAGAAGGCCAGGGTTGGGAGAAGGACTGTCTATGGGGTATGGCCAAAACTTTGGCCTATTTCGAGGGGGAGAAGAGTGTAATTCATAAGCTGGTATTTCTCTCCTGCCTTCTTTTGATCTTCTGACAGTGCTTCCCATAGGTCTAACTCAACAGGAAGCACAAGGCAAGGGGGTCCTGGTGATGTATTCATAAATGTCAGCTCCCAGGGCAGAGTATGGCAGAGAAGTGGAGAAAACGGATTTGGAGAGGGAAACCAAAAATATCTATTACAAATATTCTCTACGACCATAAAGTAAAAAAAAAAAAAAAAACAAACAGTCAGTAGAAGGCAAGGAACTTAAAAATCACCACACAACTACCTTTCTAATATTATCACCTTCCTTTTCAAACATTTAACTTACTGAGCATTCTTTCTGCTTAATACTGGTCAGCAAACTTTTTCTGAAAAGGGTCCAAAAGAAAATATTTTAGATTTTGAAACCTAAGAGGCAAAATTGAAAATATTATGTTGTATTGACATAACCACTTAAAATGTAATCATTTTAGCATAGAAAATGCAGTCATTAAAATCCAGTGGGCTTGGGGCTCCTGGGTGACTCAGTCAGTTGAGTGATAGGACTCTTGATTTCCATTCAGATCATGATATCAGGGTGGAGGGATCCAGCCCCACTTCAGGATCCACTCTGGGAGCCTGCTTGAGATTCTCTCTCCCTCTCCCTCTGCCATTCCCCGCCCTTCTCTTCTCCCTCTCTAAAAAAAAAAAAATTCCAGTGGGCTAGATTTGGCCTGTGAGCCATAGTTGATCACCCTGTGGCCTAGAAAGTCCTAGAAAGTCTTCTCCTAAATTTTTGTTAGCCTACATCTGCCTATTTTTTTAAATGGCCAGTCCAAATAAAACCTCCCTCATGTGGCCTGCCAGACTGAGACTCTTTAAGTTATGAATGAAAGAAAATCAGTTTTTACAAGCTTAAGAGAGTAAAATTACTAGCTTAAATTTGAGAGGATGTTGGAGGTAGATCCCAGAATTCAGGAGCTGCAGGCATCCCAGCTATTCCAGGGATTGTAGTATCAGAACATGCCCTCTTGAGCGCTCTTTTCTTATCTTTGCTCTTTCTGCAGTTTGGTTTCATTGTTTACTAGTGAGGGCAAAGCTTCCCCATAGAAAACACAAAGTACTTGTCCCTCTTTAGGCAATAATCCCAGGGAAGTATTCTGCTTGACCTGTCTTGGTCACACACCCATCCTTCGATGAACATGTGTGGGTGGTGGTGGGGGTGGTGGGGGTAGGGAGGTTCTATGATTGCACATGCTTGGGAGAAGAGCCCACTGCTGAAGGGAGGGAGAATTCTATTGCCAGAAGATGCAGACAGGATGTCTATTTTTGGGAGATGAAAATGTCACAATGTGACATGCCATAAGAGAGATCATGTCTGGAATGTCTGAAACACGTTTTATCACCCCCAGTACCTAACACCACATTTGGTAGACAGTCATGCGTTTTTGATGAATGAATGACTCAGTTCCCCCAGCTGGTTGTGAACGCTCTCTTCTCTAAACTGGCCCAGATATCAGCTGTTGTCTAGTTCTACTGTAGGTTGTCTTAGAGGTTTTCCTGTCCATATGTTATCTTTTCCCTAATCCCGGGAGGCAAAGAATGCCTGAGACAGAGCCAGGCAACAGGAAATCTCAGCCCCGGAACCAGAGCACAGAATGCTGTAGACGCCGGTGACAATACCGACTATGTTCTGGGTAACCCATGTGGCCCTTTTGTTGAGGCCGTCAGGACACAAAGGCCCCACCGACAGACGTGACCCTCCGAGGACAGGGAGGCCCGGGGGCGGGGGCACAGCGGGAGCCCCAGCCTCGGGGGCGTCGCACCGCACAAAGGAGACAGCAGGGAGGCGGCCGCGGGCGCCGATCTTCGCTCACCAGCCACTCGCAGTTGCGGTTACAGACCTGCAGCTTCCCTCCCCCTCCCCACCCAGGCCCGCCCGCCTGCCTTTCTGTCTCCTCTCTCCCTCCGTACTGGACGGCCCGGGTCCATTTCCGGGCTCCGGATACTTGGTATCGATCGGGGCCGAGGGCGCGGGAGCAGGTGGCTGCGGCGGGGTAGCTGGACCGCCAGCCTGGGGCGCCGGGACGGGTCTCCCAACGCCTTTGTCGCCAGCCCTTCCGCGGCGGCCGCTCCTCCCCCAGGTCGGCGCGCACTGCCGGCCGGACTTTGCGCCGCGTCGGGCGCTGCTGCTGCGCGCGGGGCCGCGCTCGGGCCCGGCGGCGGCGGGGAAGCGGGCGGCGAGAGGCGGCCGGGACCCCGGCCCAACATGGCTGAAGTCACCATCGACCAGTCCAAGCTGCCCGGAGTCAAGGAAGGTAGGGGCCGGGGCGCGAGGCGCGAGGGGCGTGGGGCCGCTCCCCTCTCCCAGCCTGGCTCTCTCCGGGCGGGGAAGTCGTCCTTTTGGCCCCCGAGGCCCTAGCGCGGGCCCCTCTGGTGCCCTGGCGCCCTGGTCGGGGACAGAATTGGCTCTACTGTGGTACCTTGGGCGAGTCATTACGTTCTGAGCCCGGTTTCTCCACTGCGAGGAAATGGGGGGAGAGAGGATAGCACCACCCTCAGCAAGTGGTTGTGCAAATGTTCTAGCGAAGAGCAAAGTGTTGGTGAACGCTCAAAAGCTGGGTAAATCTGACTTATTTGTGTCCTTAAAAATCAAGGCCCAGCCTAGCTGGCTTGAAGGCTAGGAAGTGGGGAGGGGTTGACGTTCAGTTCCTTGTGGAGCCTTTGTTTTGAAACTTGACTCTTTCCCTCCTTCTCGCCACTTTTCCTAGCCCAGCGTCTGGCTGGCTGACTTTCCCACCTCCCTCAAGGTTTAAAAGTTTAGTCTTGGCACTGCCCAGCGTGGGCAGGCTGATGGGAAGCTGCTATAAGCATTTTCTTAGGAAAAGCAGGGGGTAAAGGGGAACAGAGGACTGACTGGTGACCTTGATTTTTAAAGGCTCTTTATACTAATGTCCTGGGAAATTATGGTTGATCAGTACTGGTCTGGTTTAGCTACTGGCAAGTAGCCTTTTGACTTCCCTTCCCTGCTCTTGGTTGACTGCTCCAAGATCGAGCATTTTTTTTGTTGTTGTTGAAATTTTGGGTGCTGGATCTCCTTAACCTATAGTTATCTTTGGCTCTTCTTTGGCCCCCGGAAGTGTGGAAATCCCAGAGTGCTATCCAGGCTTGCAGAGGTTGTCTTTGTTGTGAATGTCATTTGTTTCATTTGAACAGTGTGGCCTGGGGTGTCTTGGGAATGTGGAATTGAAAATAAGAATTTTTGCTTTCTTGGAACTGCATGTTTCATTGACAACTTGATTTGACTCTGATGGTCTTGTGGGTGTTCAGGCCGACCCCAAAATACCAAGTAAGCTTGACTGCTTTCTTTCCCAGAGTTCGAAACACTAGGGGATAGAGTAACTGGTTATATGTAGAATTTTTAATGGGGCCAGGCTTGTCCTATTGTTCCTGAAGGGTATTAGAACTTAGGCCTGAGATCTTTCAACCTTTCAGTTTCTAGCAAGGCTTTGGTGAAGATTCAGGTATTCACATGTAAATGTAGTTTTCACAGCACTGTCAAGTCTTGGTGCCCGAGTGAGAGGAAAGGCAGATCTACACTTTGAAAGTCCTAGTCTGGGGCGCCTGGGTAGCTCCGTCATTAAGCGGCTGCCTTTGGCTCAGGTCATGATCCCAGGGTCCTGGGATTGAGCCCCACTTCGGGCTCCCTGTTTGGCGGGAAGCCTGCTTCTCCCTCTCCCGCTCCCCCTGCTTATGTTCCTTCTCTCGCCTTCTCTCTCTCTCTCTCTGTCAAATAAATAAAAATCTTAAAAAAAAAAAAAAAGTCCTAGTTTCTGAGATTGTCTGGTTGTACTTAGCCTTTTGTTTGTTTTTTTTTTTTAAAGATTTTATTTATTCATGGGAGACAGAGAGAGAGACAGAGAGAGAGAGGGGCAGAGGGAGAAGCAGGCTCCCAAGGAGGAGGGAGCCTGATGCGGGACTCGATCCCAGGACCCTGGGATCATGACCTGAGCCGAAGGCAGACACTTAACCATCTGAGCCACCCAGGCGCCCTGTACTTAGCCTTTTGGATAGGAGTTTTATGGACAGATGTCTGTATGTTGAACGTCCCTAAAGAAAAAGTGACCCTGTGTAGTGTGTAGTGCTTCCTTGGGGGTGGGTGATAAGTAGAGTGAACACTGGAGTTCAAACACAACCTTAACAGTTAAGTATTAATCATGTGGTGCTGTGATTTTACCCAGCCCCTTGTACCTGTCCCTGACCTGGAACAAACTTGAAACTCACTTCCTGTATATGCATGTATACGACTCTTAGGTCTTCTGGTTTCTAACCAAGACATGAATGATGAATGATTTATTCTAGTACATTCTCAAGGGGTTCAAAAAAACACTTTCCATCTAAAAATGCAAGATGTTTCTATTCCTAAACTCTGGAATTTTTGCACATTCAAATTGGCTTTCACTTCGCATAATGTGGTGTTTGGCAATCCAGTTTGCGTGATATGGTTAAGTGGGAAGGAAATTTGGTGTGGCCCTTTCATTAAGTTAGAATTAAATACTGATTGATTTTGAAGGTGGTCAGAAATTGTTGAGATCATTGTCTTTGCAAGCGTCTGACTTTTCTGGTTCCAAGATCCTCAAAGGAAATGATGTATTAGGCTAGGAACCTCCTAATGGTGGTGTAGTTTTTGATCTGGGAAGTATTCAAGTCTAATAAAGGGTATCTTTCTCTAATATAACTCTTAATTATGGCCCAGTAACTCCCTAACAATGCCTTTGAACCCTAATTTAAAGAGAATAAAGGTCGTGCCCATGTTTGGGTAAAACATACACATTGAGACTGTTCTTAATACTGAAACTCCAACTCAGTTTGTAAAGAAAGTTTAGTGGTAAATTGCTTAATATCCTGGCATAGATTTTTAAACTCTGTTTTTAAAAATCTGTCTCCTCCACTTCTCTTTTCAGTCTAAACTTTGGTAGATTGATACACAGTTACGATTTGGGGTCATAGGGTGGATTCCAGTAGAGATGAAGAATAATGCAGTGGATGTCTGTGACTTCCCACTGCCTTTTCTTTGGGAGAGGTTGAGGAGCCCTGTGACCTTTGTTGTGAACATGTCAACAGAGGTCATGGTTAACAGCTGACATCAGGGAATATTTTAATATTTTAAAATTTTCTTTTCTAGGTTAAAATCCAGTGCTTGCGTGCTTAGTTTTAAGGTGGTCAAAGATACTCATCATTTGGACAGACCTTTAAAAAAACCAAAGTTACAGCAGTATTTTTACCTTAGGAAATCTCTTAAAATAGGAGATAAAGAGACACATTTGAGTTCATATGTAAGTGAAAGGAATTAAGTCTAGCTAAATGTCAGCACATCATTATTTCTGGTTTAAAAGCACATTTGGAACACATGCATACTTTTTGTAATGGAAATACTGTTGCCATTGTTTAGGAATTGTCCTTTATTTCTTCTGAAACATTTGAGCTTCTACCCAACAAGATTTGAAATAATTCCAGCTATTGTTTTTTAAAGTATAACTCAAATGCATCATGCAATTTGCGAATGTTAGACAAAGGTATAGTCAGGTTCCAACAGTATTCTGTAAGTTTCTTAGTTTAGATCTGAGCTGGGTATGTATTTTTCTAAAAATGAATGCTTTTCTTCAGTTGACAGACTTAGGTTTTCGGTCAATTTTAGCTTCTTTGCTGAATTTTCTTCCTTTTTTTTTTTAAGATTTTATTTATTCGTTTGAGATACAGAGATACAGAGAGAGAGAGAGAGAGAGAGAGCATGAGAAGGGGGAGAGCGAGAGGGAGAAGCAGGCTCCCCCCTGAGACAGAAGCCTGATGTGGGGCTCCATCCCAGTACCCTGGAATCATGACCTGAGCTGAAGACAGACGTCCTACCCTCTGAGCCACTCAGATGCCCCCAAATTTTCTTTCTGACACAATAGTCCAGACCCCTCACTTTTCCTTTTTTGCCCTTTCCACTTAGATTCCCATATCACTACTTAATTTGGAGTGGCTCATTTATCATCATAATCTTGCCCCTTTTCCTGTGTAACAAAGTTTTGACCCTTAAAGTGTTGGTCTAAGAGCTAATGTTAGCCTGTCCATCAAAGCCATTTCTAGACCCTTTTAAACTTTTACCAACTCCTTTGTAATTTTATAGGCATTAGAGTTTTCCCATTTTTGCCATTTAGCACAATACACCAACCCTCCCATCAGTTCCCAGTGCCAGCCTTCTTTTTTCTTCTCTTACAGCAGTAAGAGATGCAGTATGTATTATGTGTGTGTACTAGTCTTCAGATGGAAAGTTCCACCATCTCCAGAGTTGGTTAACTCTGTGTGTGTGTGCACATCTGAAGTCAATGCACCTAGTGATTTTTCTTGAAGTAAAAGCAGCTAGCTGTTCTGAAAGAAAGTCTTTTTTCTTTTATGAAAAATAAAGTTTAATACATTTTCAGAAATATGTCTCGAAAGCACTGATTCATTTTAGGTCCAGGACACCCCAGTGACCTAATGAGGTAAATTAAATTAATGGCACAAATCCAGAATTTTAAGGGGAAAGATACAAAGTTAGGTCTGGTGTAGTAAGTTAAGCAAGTTTTCCCAGAGATCTTAAGCATATCACGTGCACACTAGGCATGTAATGTGAAGGCAGTGTCCGTGAGATATATAGCATCTGGCTCCAGGGCAAACTCACTTTCTCTTTTTTTCAAAATTCTACAGCAAGTTTTTTTTGTTACTGTTTTTTAGGGAGACAGTGGCTGGATCTACTTGAGTTGGGAGATTTGTATCTTACTTATCTTTCTTTACCCTTGTCTGGCTTCAGGTCTTTCACATAGCCAGAAAATATTCAGCACATATTTGCATATGTGAGTGAATGAATGAATGAGTGTATTATTAAATGCGCCCTGTTGGTTCAGGAATCGTACCTCTGGCATAGTATATTATTATTATGTATTAAAAATAATATTTTACATTCCTTCTCAGAGTCTCGGCAAGGGCAGGGATAATGCCTTTTAACCATGGGTTCACAGATCACAATGCCAGAATTAAATTTATAAAAAAATATATATTATTTTTTTAATTTTTTTATATAAAAACTTTTAATCTTTTTTTCCTAATGTTTATTTTTTCATAAGTGCATCTTAAAAATAGATTTTATCCTGTCTAAATATATAAAACATAAAAAGTAAAAAAAAAAAAGCTATGCTCTTCCTTCTGTCCTTGGAGGTAATCATTATTAAGAATAAAATTTTAGTGGGCGCCTGGGTGGCTCAGTTGGTTGAGCGACTGCCTTCGGCTCAGGTCA